ATATTGTACTTTTGCTGATTAATATTTTTTAAAAATTTTTTCACATATATTTTTTATTTTTAATGCTTAACAATATATTAAAGTATAAATTAAATCAAAAATAAAAAATTCTTATTCGGCTAAGTCCTTTATTATTAGATTATTATAAACATAATTTTAAAAAATATTTTTCATTTTTAACATTTTGAAAATGTGATACAAAACATAAGACTATAATAATTATGCATAATTTATATAAATATTTGGTAGAAATATAGTATTTTTATTATAAAAATAGACCCAGTTAGTCAATGTTAATAAAAAATTTTAAAGTAAATATGTTGATTTTAATTTTGTGTTAACAATTACTTTGCTGAGTTTTAGAAAATAAAAATGTTTCCCAATTATAAGTCTTAAGAGTTTCCACCAATTGATCCACAATTGATTGATCCAGGGTAGGGCTACGGCTCATAATCCACGCGGTTACTAATCAGTGTTAAAAAATTTAAAATTTTACCATGTTAAACATTATTTTATTTATACCGATATACGTGGGCACTACTGGCGGTGAATAGCATGAGTATGTTAGTGCATAACTATCATAGTCTGTGTCCAGTACCAAAAGTTGCCTGTTCACTGTTATGGCACCTACTATAATAAAATTATTTAGATAATTACAAACATGTTATTAATTAATAATAATCATATTATAGTAAATTACATCGCTTAAACTCGATATTTAACCTAGCTGGATCGGTAGCATTTATTGGTGCAACACCTACAGTTGACCGCCGTGTATTAATTCTATAGTATAAATAAAGTATCAATGTTAATTAATTTTTTTTAATAAAATCTACCTAGTCTACAACTACATACAATTTAACAACACCCGAGTCCTCCACAGTAACGGTGCCGTCGGAATTCAGGGTATAATCAGCGGTCAGACATTTTTGACCAGCCTCCCAAACGTTAGGGTATTTCTGTATTTCATACCATTTTCCCATAAACTGGAGATAAGCCAATAATTATTAAGTTTACATTTTAGATTTATAAATAAGTGCTTTTATGTTTAAATAAAATACCCTGCTAATATCAAAATTTTGCATAGCTGGCACTACGGGACAATCACGAGCCCATACTATGACACTGGTCAAATATACTGATAGTATTAATAAGTTAACATTTGTTAAGGTATTCATAATGAGCCACATTTTAAAAACTTATTATAAATATCACAATGAAAATTTTTTAAAATTAATTTTTGCATTTACTTTCTAAAACATAACTACATTTATAGAAATTGTATTCATAAGTGTTCTAGCACTTTAAATGCACTTTTTATAGAGATGTTAAGCTTAATTGATTTATTTTCATAAGTAAATAGCAATTAAATTGATTATTACTTTAGCATAATTATCCGTCTAAAAAAGTTTAATGTAATTTAATGACAATTTTAATATTGTTAAAATTATTTTTGTTTAATGTATATTAAATAATGATGCATATTTACACCAATAATAATTATTATTGTGTACATATTAGTACTTAAAGGTCATTTTAACAATTAATTTTTAGACAATTTATAATTTGTATGTCTGATTTATTGTATGGCGATAAATAATAATTGGTACTAGTACAGTAATAGCAATTGTCACTTTAACTCATAATGACAATCAATTTGGAGTAAATGTATAATTAAATACTTTGTCTCCATATTAAAACAATTTAAAATTTAATACAATTGTCAAAATAGTACCAAAAATATGATTTTAAACATAGGTTATTAAAAAATAAATTATTATTTACATATTTATACAGTTTATAAATTAGTTATATATTTTTATTATTTTTAATACAATATATAAAATAGTTTATAAAAAATTAATTGCTCATTTAATTAAATATCTATTTAAAAATCACTAAATTATTAAAAACAAAATACAGTGTAATATCAATACAATAGTAAAATCATAAGATTTAGGAGCTAATGCACTAAATTCCCCTTACCACAATATAAAAGCGATAATAAACACTTAAAGTTATATACTCAAGGTTACTAGGTAATTCTAATAGAAATCAACATTTAGTGCATTTTAAGTGTACAGATTATGCTAGTATAGTATGTTAAGCCTATGTAATATAACAATGCCATATATACATAACAAAAGTATAAATTCAACAAATATTTGTGTTCAAAACTATTACTTGTAAATGTGGTTTTAGTTATAGTAATATATGTTGTAAAATAAAACTTTATTAAAAATATTTGGAAAGTTTAAAAATCATATGATCTAAGATGAAATTACCGGAGACTATAAAACTGATATATTTAAGCATCATTGAATTGTTTCAAAATTTTTTCGGCATAAGAAATATGTGTAAAAGTAGTAGACGTTTGGACGGGCAGGTAGTGGTCATTACCGGTGCCAATACGGGCATCGGTAAGGAAACGGCTTATGAACTGTCATTACGTGGGGCTAAGGTATTAACATTTTAAAAAAGTATTTTACTCAAGGCATTTTAAATAATTTGATAAAAGTCAAAATAATTATGTTTAAATGTCAACATTACATGATAATTTTATATACAGTACTTTATAATAAAATAATAATTTGCTCAATACTTTAAAATTATATCTAAATTAAAATTACTACTATAATAATAACGTAATAAACACAAATTATAAAGTTCCTTTTAACTCACTCATCAATATATTAACCTAGGTAAAATTAATTAATATTTTGTGCCCTTAATATCAGATAATCATGGGATGTAGGGATGAGCGTCGGGCACAGGTAGCTATTGACGATATAAAGCGGCGAAACTCAAAGGCGGACATAATATGCCATAAACTGGACTTATCTTCACTACAATCTGTGCGACAATTCTGTGAACAAGTCGTGCGAAATGAGACCAAAATAGATGTCCTCATCAATAACGCCGGCGTTGCCTTCATGGACTCCCAAACAGTGGATGGCTTTGAGATGGCTTTTGGTACCAATCACCTTGGTAAATTTATAAAACAATTTTTTATGCATGATTCTAAATTAACCAATTTTTGAAATGCTAGAAAATTTTAATTTTACAAATACTCTTGTTAGTTGAAACAATTATACAAACTGTAAATAAAACTCCATAAATACTAAATATTAGTATTTGGATAAGTTTTAACTTTTTATTGGTATTGCCGATCACATACGATATATTTTAATATATTTTTTAATCAATTATTTTGCGCTAGGTATTAACATTTAATGTTAATTTTCGTGATAATTTTGACAATACTAATAAACTTTTTAATTATATAATATCTAATATTTATCAATAATATTATAAATATGAATAATATAGATATTATCCACTAATAATAGTCACCATGAGCAATTAATTAAACTCCAGTAATTAATTAGACAATAATTATTATCGATACAATTAATATTAAAAACATATAATTTAATACAATCAATTTTTGTAAAGTTAAAATAAATTGTATTTAATTTTAGGGCACTTCCTATTAACCCTCCAATTATTACCACTAATTAAAAAGGCCCCAAAAGCCCGGATCATAAACCTTTCATCAGCCATACATATGACGGGAAAAATACACTTTGAAAACATAAACCTCCGTAACGGCGCCTACACCGACAATAAAGCCTACGCCCAGAGTAAGCTGGCTAATATATTATTCACCAAGGAGCTAGCCAAACGACTAGGCTCAGACTCGACTATTAATGTGTACGCCGTGCACCCTGGTGGCATACGCACCGAGTTGGCTAGAAACGTGAGCGGGGTCACGAAGTTTATGATCACGGTGCTTTTGAAAAGATTTCTAATTGATGTAAATCAGGGCAGTCAGACTACCCTGCACTGTGCGCTCGACGAGTCACTGGATAATGAGACGGGTCATTACTATGCGTACGTATGATAGTGTAGTTAATTGTTATATATTTTTGGAAAATTTTTAATTTTTTTAAATTTTTTTTTCTGTGAAGCAATTGCTTACGAGTGGACGACATGTTTGCGAACGCGACGGACGATAGGAGTGCCCAACAGTTGTGGCAATTGAGCGCCGATTGGGTTAAACTCGAGGATCGCTATAAACTGTAAAAAATAATTGCAATCAAAAATTTAATATAATATATTAAATTCAATTTTTACCCCTATTTTTGCAAGTATATACTTATGTGTTTATATAACGCATTGTTGCCTTTTTGAGATTCGCTAATGTAATGTAAATTATATTTAAAAATCTTATTTATGAATAATATAACCCAGAAATAAAGTATTAGCTTTTTAATCAATGTTTTGTTTTGTGACTATAATCCATTGAGTCCCACGTATTACAAATTATTACAAATAGTAATCCCGATTTTAATATTAACTCAATATTATGTCGAGTTATTAGCATTAATCTACTAAATATGCATAGAAATATATAAATCCATATGCTATTTAATAAAAATATTATTTTACTATTTGGACTACATGGATTATCAATTTATGTAAGTGCGATACATGGTATCCGGGTACGACAAGTATGTTAGTCATTAAGCTGGCTAAAATAACTACTAAGTAAATGATAGAAAACTTATTCAAAAATATTCTGCCATAAAAAAGTATACCAAATACCTGCATATATTGGATATACAGGCGCTTTGCAATTACATTTTGCTAACTAACTCAACATAGCCAGTATATAAATACATAAGGTAGGCCTTCCCCTTTACATCAAATATGTATTACTATATTATATAAATATTTTACTTTTAGCAAAGCTTTTATAGCACTTAAGTAGATTAATTTTAATTGTCCTAAAAGCTTTTAATAATTTTTGTGAGATTTTGTCATTTTTAATAAAATAAATA